GCGGAGCCTCCAGGTGTCGATGTCCGACGACTCGGTGTTTTCAGTCCGGGCGTTTGTCTTCGATGTCGGCTTCTGGGGCCCGTTCCCATGCAGACCTCTTCGCGTCGCGAGAAAAAACACCCAAAGAAGGTGTGGTGCTATTCTCGGTCGCTTGTGGCCCTCGCTGGGCCCCAGGACCGTCAAAAAACTACTCAAGGTGAAGAGCCGGTCCCTGGAAATGGGTTGAGATTTCCGAGGGTCCACGTTGTAAGATAAAAAAGGACTGGGCAACGCACACGCTCTGGCGACGATGATTTTATGCTCGGTCAAGACCTTGGCTGTATCCTTGCTTGCTCAGCGAGTTCGAGCAAAAACATTACTATATATAGAGATGATTTGCCTCCCGTCGACGCTGTGGCACTGATGCCGAGAAGACAATGCAAGACAATGCATCCACCAACCAACCCCAACCAACCAACCACGTGAAAAAAATGTATACTGCCCCGGGGCAGTCCAAAATGGATCCGGGACGAAAGACCACGCCCAGAAAAGGGGTGGGGACTTGTGGGCCTGCGCATTGGAAAAATCACATCGTCCGATGTCTGGGTCCCCTTCCCATCGGGTGGGGAGCTGGTAGTTTTCGTCATCGGGAGCTGATTATGCCGGGACGTTGTAGCCAGCTTAAGTAGGATTCGAACGTGTCCAGTTCTAATACCATTCGAGCCATCTTGGACCAGAGCCCCTTCAACGTCCTCTGGGCCCTAGCTGCAAAAAAAATGCCAGATGTGTGAGGGTGTCAAGAAGGAACGGAAGGAGGAGTCGGAGCAGGGTGCACATGAGGAGAGAATCGCAGACCTACAACGGATTGACGAAACAATGTTGAAGTTGTTCTTCGCGTTTCGGATTCCAGGGGCCGTCACAAGGCTCCGGGACCGTCCAAAAACGGCTCCGGTTGAAAAGACAGCCTTGTGGAAACGGTCAGGATTTCGGGGACCCCCAAATGGTAAAAACAAAACATCGCACGTGTGGTGATACAGTCAAGCAGTTCTAACCAGGACCATTTGGGGCCCAGAAGGAGCTCTGGTTTGGGGGCCGTTCTTTAGATCTAGGTCGTGGCGCCACTTCGTGGCCGAGGCTCGCCGTGGCTAGAAAAGCCCCTTCGCTCCTTCTTCAGCGTGCATTGTGGTAGCGCGATGGCTGCAATGATGTCTGGGGCTGTCAGACGTGCGGGCCTCCTGGAGGGCCCTCGCCGCGACCTTCGGCGGATTCGAATCAGTTGACAGCCGGCACGCCCGGGGTACAGAACCTTCACTCACGCCTGGGGCACTTAGAGCACAGTACCATTGGCGCGCGCTCGAGGGGAGCTTTTCAGGGGCCACGTTGATGTGGGGATAGGCTCGGGGGGGGGATAAGTCGACCCCCAATTGCCCATTCATCGCCGATAGGGGCCCGCTAGCCCGCCCCGCCCACGAACGTGCGCCTTCGCTGTCGAGGGGCTGTTGCCAATCTCTCGGCGAGGCATCGCCAGTTCCAGCTCGATGCTGCCCCCTCGAGCCAGTCCCCCTATCGTTCCCTCAGGAGCGGCCTAGCCGAACCCTGGCAAACCGTCCCCTTCTGTGACGTCCCCCTCGCCTCGCCCCATGACGAATGCATGCTGCCGGAGGGAGGCCTAAAAAGCGAGGATGACGTCACGGAAGGGGATGGTCTGCTAGGGGTCGGTCAGGCCGCGCCCGATCCGTGGAAGGCGCGTGTTCGGCGGTCAGCGCTACGAGGTCCCGAAGCCCCACGGCAGAGCTCGCGAACTATTAGGGGCAAGGGGAGCGCACGGCCTCCCGTCGGGTATAGCCACGCGCAGAAGGGGGGTCGGGGGGAGGGGGGCAAGCGTCTTAGAAGCACCCCTGCTTCTCAGAGACGCGCGGGCTCTGTGCGCAGAGGTGGGGCTGGGAAGCAGCCTCCTTCTCTGAGAAGCCTTCCCCCCTCCCCCCATACCCTTTTTCCAGGCGCCGACGACCTACCGAGTCTGCCGCAGCTGGTGTTTCTTCGGCGGACGGCAGTTCCGGTGAGTGGGATGGGGCGGGGGGGCGCCCCCCAAGTGCACACCATTGAGCCAGGCCCCACTAAACTGAAGTCGGGCCTGTCCCTCTACAGGAGGAAAGTTCAAAAATCGTATAAAAAAACACAACAACAACAACAACAACAACAACAACAACAACAACAACAACAACAACAACAATTACTAGCACGTGGGGACACACCGTTCTCACCAGTGCCAGGGTTTTCATAGGAGGCGGGCAATACCCCCACTTTGTGGGGGGGCCGGTTCAAGCTCTACCAAATTTCCAAACGACTCTTCGCCACCACCCACACCCAGCTTCCCGCCCTATGACGTTCGGACACTTCACTTCGTGGCATGCGGACGACCGTGGCTACTATTCAGGGCCCCGCGGCCGACGACGACGGCGTGCGCGCGCGAAGAAAAAACGAATGTGTCCCGCATGGTATTATTTGACAGGGATGATGGCCCTGGCAGGTGCGCAACCGTTGTTGCAGAAGTTCGAAAAAGTTGCTCGCAAAAGCCCGTTTGACAGAAATGTTTAAAAAGTGTTGGGTTTCCTACGAATCCGCAAGAGCGCGCGGGATGAAATTTTGACATTTTTTTTTGAAAAACCATTGGTTTTTTGATGTTTTTATGTTAAAATCGCTACGAAAACTAAGGTTTTGGAAGGATTTCGTCTTGCGCGCGCGAATGTCCACTTTACCTTATTTTTGCAAGGGATTCTTGAAGTTTGGTTATGTTAGAACAAGAAATGTCCACTTTAGCTTATTTTTTGCAAGGGAAAACCGATCGTAACAACACAACCGGATCCGGACTCCCCCGTTTTGCCTGAGACTTCCTCACGAAAATGATGAAAATGAGGCTGCGGCCTAGGCGCGGCGGGGGGGTCGTGCACCAGGGGCCCCAACAATAATTATTCTTTAGAAGTAATAATGTTCAACAACAACAAAAAGTCTGGGGGGTTCGAGCCTTCGTTGGCAATGTTGGAGCATTGTGTTTGAAACTATGTCTTATGTTTCGTCCAAACGCCGCCTGTAGGAGGACATGCCCGACATAACACTGAACCCAGTCCCGCCAGCGCCCGACCCGGGCGGTGCTGGGCAGGCGGCGCAGCCCGCGCCCCGCGCCGCGCGCTGCCGGGGGGGCGCCAAGGCGCAGGGCAGGGGCGCAGATGGCGCCGAGAGGCGGGCCACGCTGCCAGAGGGCGACCCAGACATGCTCGCGTCGTGACAAAGTCCGGACGGAAGGTCTTCCGTCGGTGGCGGCCTCCGGGGGGCCCTCGGCAGGCCCCAGGGGAGCGTCGAGAAACCAAGAGGGTGCAAAGCTGTTCGCGGGGAGGAAAGGGCCGAGATTTCGGGGGCCCGCGCGTTGGAAAAAAAGCGGCGTGGCCCACGTCCGGGGCCCCAGCTGGGTCCCAGGCTGCAGGCCCCGGGGGCGTCAAGACACCAACAGGGCGCAAAGCCGTTCGCTTGGAAGGGGTCGAGACTTCGGGGGCCCGCGCTTTGGCAAAAAGCGGCGTGTCGCACGTCCGGGGCCCGAGCTGGGTCCGAGGCCGGAGGCCTCTGGACGCTTCCAGGGGCCCCCGCGCCAGCCCCTCCGGTGGGCCTCCAGAGGCGTGCCCAGCCCATCCAGGAGGGGCGGCGAGATCATCCAAGGGCTCCTCAGAGACGGGCGGACACCAATCGAGAGGGCCTGGTTTATGATGTTCCAACCTACTGTAGCCTTGACCACCAGGAAGAACTTCGAGCACCAAGGAAGTACCGAAACTTGAGGGCTGTCACGTGTCGGGCCCTGGGAGGCGATACTTGTTCGACACTGTGTCGATACTTGTCAGGGCGCCCGAAACTATTTCTGGGATGGGGTCCTTGCGCACGGAGGGAGCAGCATAATTAAGGCGTGGTTGGTTGTCTTTGGGTCGCCCGCGGGGGCGCGAAGAGAATCTCGCGCTGCGCGCGTCGCGGTCTGGGACAGAGCGGTCGCGCCTCGCCACGGAGGCCGCGCGGGAGCGCGGAGAGAGTCTCGCGCGCCGCGCGCCGCGGTCCGCGCCAGAGCGGCCGCCAGGGAGGCGGTGCGAGGGCGCGAGGGCGCGAAGAGAGCCTCGCGTCGCGCGCACCGCGGGGTGCGGTGCGCGAGGTTAGGCTGAAGTCGGGGGTGTCCCTCTACAGGAGGAATGTCCAAAGCAGTCAAAAAAAAAGTGTGGGGATAAGTTGCTGTTATTTGGGGCTATTTGGGAGCGGCTATTTGTTTTTTTTCGCCCCAAATCCGCCTGCAGGAGGACATGCCCGACCTAAAGATCGCCTCGCGTCGCGCGCATCGCGGGGTGCGGTGCGCGAAGTTGGGCCGCACGTGAGATTCTTCCGCCAGGAGGCAGGCCGCGCTGCCAACTCTTGCCCAACGGTTACAGTCAGAGTTACTGAGGAGGAGGACGACGACGACGACGACGACGACGACGACGACGACGACGACGGCGACGGCGACGACGACGGCGACGACGACGACGATGTGCTGCACCAGCGCCCTTGACGAGGAAGCGGATCCAGTCCCCCGACGTCGTGATTTTGTTCACAACGTGGGCCCCTGGAGGTCTCGACCCTTTCCCCTTGGCCGGTACTTCGTCCCGAGTCTTTTGGTTCACGGCCTCGGGGCCGACGACGGCCCCTGGAAGTCGAGCATGATGAAAGCAAATCCGTCATCACTGTTTCACGGTGCGAGGGGGCCTGGGTCTGGGGATCGCAATGGGGTTCGCAAGTGGACCCCCAGACCTCACCTGGGGTGCGTTCTGAGCAGCCGTGGCGACGAGAAGCCCCCAAGAGGCCAGTGAAGCCTCAATCCTCGAAGTTCGAAGTTCGGTCTGGACCCAAGGTTCGAGGTTCGAGCGGCGAGGATCACGACGACCACGATCGCGACTGCGGCGACGGCGGTGACGACGACGACGGCGACGACGGCGACGGCCCTTTGCTGAAAGGTGGACTTCGGGGCCTGCCTGCACACAGACTGGCGCACGGGGGTCCAGGCCAGCATGCGCCGCGCGAGCCTCGTCATTGGATAACAAATCACGGAAGGGAAAAATAACTACACTACACAGATACCGCTTGGACACCTAAACAAGAACATAACCAAATATCAAAAACAAGCACAACAAGTACGCCTCCGATCGTCTTAGATTGAATGTCTCTGGCTTCCTGCGGCAAGTCCCGCCACCGTGCAATCCCAGCACTCTGTCGGACTGTTCGAGGGACACCGGGATGCCGTCACGTGTGACATGTTGTGTCTCGAGGCTTGGGAGAGCCGTGGTTATGGTGGTGATGGTGGTGATGATGGTGGTGATGGTGATGGTGATGGTGATCGTGGTGGTAGTGATGGTGGTGGTGATAGTGGTGATGTTGATGTTGATGTTCATTGATGTTGATGATGATGCTGATGATAATGCGTATGATGAAGGTGATGGTGGTGATGATGGTGATGATGATGATGATGGTGGTGGTGATGGTGATAGTGATGGTGTTGATGTCGGTGTTGATGATGATGATGATGATGATGATAATGATGATGATGATGATGATGATGATGATGATGGTGATGGTGATGGTGTTGATGTTGATGTTGATGCTGACGCTGATTCTGATGCTGATGCTGATGGTGACGCTGATGCTGATGCTGATGTATATGATGATGATGATGATGATGATGATGATGATGATGATGATGATGATGATGATGATGATGGTGTGCTGGTGGTGGTGTTGATGCTGATGATGCGGATGATGATGGTGATGGTGATGGTGATGATCATGGTGATAATAATGATGCTGAGTCCGATGATGCTGCTGGTGTTGATGCTGATGGTGATGGTGATGGTGTTGATGTTGATGCTGACGCTGATGCTGATGCTGATGTTGATGGTGACGCTGATGCTGATGCTGATGCTTATGATGATGGTGGTGGTGGTGATGCTGATGATGATGCGGATGGTGATGGCGATGGTGATGGTGATGATCATGGTGATAATGATGATGCTGAGTCCGATGATGCTCCTGGTGCTGATGATGATGTTGATGGTGGTGGTGATGGGTGATGCTATGGGGGGTGAGGATGATGATGATGCTTATAGTGCTTATGATGTTGGCGGTGATGATAATGAAGATTCCGATCGTCTTAATCAAATTGGATGCATATCAGCGAATAGCTGCCACTAGCGCTCAACAGCGTCAAATAGCACCCAATGGCGCCCAGAAGTGCCAATTAGCGTTCAATGATCGCTCAGATGGCACGCAGAGCGCCCAATCGCGCCATGTGAGGGAGATGCACTATGTCCGTTTTGCGCCATGGGGACGACCACAAGCTGCCGTGAGTTGCTTTCTAGTGCTCCTTCTTCTTCCTCAGTCATCCTTCCCCAGGCCCCCCCGCATCGTCAAAAATCGCGACGGAAGGTTCTTTTTGTTATTTTCGGCCTCTGTGGGCTCTCGCCGAGCCCTGGGACCGTCGGACTCAGGATGAAAAGCTGGCCCCGTGGAACGGGTCGAGACCTCCAGGGGTCCACGTTGCGAAAAGTCGCGACGTCGGGGATATGGATCCTCCTCCTCCTCCTCCTCCTCCTCCTCCTCCTCCTCCTCCTCCTCCTCCTCCAACCCAAGCGCCCTCTTCTTTCCAGACTGGAAGCTCGTGGCGCCCAACGGGTCTTATCGTATCTTACTTCCTCCTCCTCCTCCTCCTCCTCCTCCTCCTCCTCCTCCTTACTCCGCTTCACTCTCCCCATCCGCCTCCCCCTCGGAGGCCCCCCTTGGTCGGGCCCCGCGGCCGGAGCCCTCGTGACGCTGCCAGGAGGGGGCCTCCGCCGGCCCCGCCGGGAGGCCGCCAGAGACGTGCCCGGCCCATCAGCATCGCGTTGTAAGAGACGGGGGTCCATGCAAGTGGTCAGCCACGCACAGAGGGGGGCGAGGAGAGGGGGGAAGGCTTTCTCAGAAGCACCCCCTGCTGCTTAGAAGGCGCGAGCCTCCTCTGTAGATGTACGGCTGGCGCCCTCTGGGAAGCAGTCTCTTTCTAAGAAGCCTTCCCCCCTCCCCCTCCCCCCTTGCGCGTGCCGCCAAAACGGGGGTCAGCCAGAGCGCCGGGTCCTGCAGGATCCTGCAAGGCCAGGGTTGCATTGACCCGGGTCAGTGCGCAGGATTTTCCACGATCTTGCAGGATCTGACAGTAGTAAAATGTTGCAAAGCTTGGCTGACTTTGCATTGGCCCGGGTCAGGGCGTCCCCGACTGCTGCAGGTGGCAAATATGAGGTATTCAAGAAAGGGCCCTGGACTCTGCTTTTTTCGATCTGCGGGGGCGGTTTCGGGCCCTGGGACCGTGAAAACCCGATCCAGGCTGAAAAAGTCAACCAAATGGACCGATTTTGAGCAGATTTGGCCTCATCCCGCCTTTGCCTGAGGCATTCTAGAAAAGGCCTCGTCTGCGAGGGTCAATCGGAGTAGTTGCCACGGCGGAAGCAGGCGGAATTAGAACGGGGCCGCCTCCGCCAGCGGAAGGAAAAATAGTTCCCCAAGAGATGGCAAGGTTTGTTGGTTCATGGTGTTTTTGCTACCCGCCACATCAACGGCCTCATCCAAGACGAGTGGACTTTTGACAGGGCTTGGCACTCCTTTCTCGCGGGAGCGCGAAGATACTGAATCGCGTTTTGCGCGTCGTGATCTCGGCCAGAGTGGCCACCCTGCTCTCAGGAGGGAAAAAAACACACAGACACAATTCATCTTCGATCCCCCAGAAAAGATTGGAAAATATGGGAAGTGGGGGGGGAGAAAAAAAAACCTAAAAATATGGAAATATATAGGGAATATGTTTATTTGTGTGTATTTGTGTGTCCCAGGGCCCCTTCATTCTCCAAGGGAGTGGTGCGAGGGGCGCGAAGATGATCGCGCGTCGCGCACCGCGGCGCGCGCTGCGCGGAGTTGGGATCACTCCGCTGAACACCCCAGGGCCGAACAGGCGGCCCTGGTTCCGTGCCTCTCAGCTCCCAGGGAAAAGGCGAGGTCTCCCCTGATCTGCAACTCCCAGGGAAGGCGAGGTCTCCGCTGAACAACCCAGGGCCGAACAGAGCCGGCCGCGGTTCCGTGCCTTCTTAGCTCCCAGGGGAAGGCGAGGTCTCGATCTGCAGCTCACGAGTGCAGATGTAGCTTGCGCGTCTGGCAGCGCCCAGGGATGACCAGGTCCCACTTGGCTCCCCCCTAGGATCGCACTCTGCAGGGACGCCCTGGAATTCACGAAATGGGGATACTTGCGCGTTTGGCGGCATCCAAAGAGGGCGAGGTCCTACCTGGATCCCCGTGTGACGGGTTTCCCTTGGGTTTTCTAGAAAATCACGATAGCGGCGACAGCTGCATGTTTGGCCGTACTCGGGGCGGGCAAGGTCCCGATCTGATCCGCGCAAGTCGTCTCTCCGCTGGAGCCCCTAGGAGTCCACGAAAGCGGTGACAGTTGAGTTCGCAGCACCCAGCGAGGGCGAGGTTCCGTTCGGGTTCTTGCAAGACCGCACTCCGCTAGACCCCCCAGGAGCTCACGAAAGTGGCGACATCTGCGCGGTTGGCTGCACCGGGAGAGGGCAAGGTCCCGTTTGGATCCGCGTAGGACGTCATTCCGTTGATTGTTGCGAAGTTGGCAGCACCCAGAGTAGCCGTGGTCCCGCATGGTTCTGCGTAGCACCGCACCCCGCTGGACTCTCACGAGATCACAAAAGCGCCGACAATGGGGCGGTTGGCAGCACCCAGGGAAGGCGAGGTTCTGCTCGGATCCGCGCAGGACCGCACTCCGTGAACCCCCCCAGGGAGCTCCAGAAAGCGGTGGCAGTTTCGCGATCGGCAGCACCGAGGGAGGGCCAGGTCCCGTGTGGTTCCGCATAAGGCAACAGTCCGTTTGACCCCCCAGGCGTTGATACGAGCGGCGGCAGTTGCACGCTCGGCAGCGCCCAGGGAGGGCGAGGTCCCGTGGGGCAGTATGACCCCTTGGAAATCGACGAAAGTGGCGACATTCGCGCAGTTGACCGCACCAATGGAGGGCGAGGTCCCGTTTGGACCCACGTAGGACCGCACTCCGCTGGACCCACCACGACTTCACAGAAGTGGCAACCATTGCGCAGTTGGCAGCGCCAAGAGGACAGCGAGCGCAAGCACGACGCAGGAGACAAATGAGCAGGAGGCAGGAAGGAGGAGAGGGAGGGCGGCAAGTAGAGAGAAGAGGTGCAGCAGAGCCCTATTTAAAACGAGCACCAAATACATGAGTGTCTTGAACACTGCGCAATTGATCCTCGAACCACCTTCCGCCCGGTTGCCCCCCTCCCCTTCTTCCCTTGTGCGGGCAGGGTCGGTGATGTATAGCGATCTCTCATGGATGAGGCGATCGCGTGCAGAACCCACGGCTGCGCGGCGGCTCGTTGTGACCGCAAACTTGTTTTGTTTGGTTGCGGCTTTGACGCGCGCTTGGGAGTTTGAGGAGGTTTTGGACTTGACGGGTGGGCGTGGAGGGCGTTAAAGTGACCCTGCTCTTTCCGCCCCAGCGCAGGGTGTGGAGCCAGCATGGTTGGATAGCTACGTGGGGGTGTGGCCGTCCCTGCCGCCGTTCTGGGGGTGCAGTCGCCGACTGAAGGCGGGCGGACGGGCCCCTCAGGTTGCGCAGCGTGGGCCGCGCCTGGGCCTGCGGCTACGGCCGATGGCTGGGGCAGCGGTGGCGGCGCTGCGGCACGGCTGGCAAGCAGACGGCCGCCCACCCCATGGGAAGGGGGCCAAGGACGTGCCCACGTTCGCGAGGAGGTGGTCGGAGAGCTGGCCCTCGTGCGCCCCGTCGGCTGCACGGCGCAGTAGACGACGGTGTTCTCTGCGCACGGGAGGCGGCGCGCACTGTCCACGACGCGGGATACTCGCACGAGGGCGGGCACGTCGATGTGATGATTTGCTGCCATCAACGGCCAGAGGCCCCCCCTTCGGGGGCGAGGTGAGGCCAGCCCGCCCGCTGCCCCGACGGAAGCTCCACGGAGCCGCAGCTGCTGGGAAGCGATTCAGAGCAGGAGGAGCCCGGCGAAGGCCAAGAGCACGCAGGTCGGGGCTCAAGAGACGGGGGTTAATGCAAACGGGAGTCAGCCAGAGCGCCCGATCTTGCAGGATCTTGCAGGGCCAGGGTCGCACTGACCCGGGTCTGGGCGCAGGATCCTGCAGGATCCTTCGCATTGACCCGGGTTTGGGTGCAGGATCTTGCAGGACCTTGCGGGATTTTGCAAGGCTTGGTTGACCCGGGTCGGGACTGACCCGGGTCAGAAGATCCCCGAGCAGGCGCCAGCGGGCTTCAGCCCAGCACGTCGGCGGCGTACACCGCGAAGGCTTCAACGCCGACGCCGACCTCAACAGCCACGACGATGTCCACGTGGACGATTTCTTGTGCCAGGGCAGGGCGGCGATGTCTCGGAGGCTACCGCAGTTAGTTGACGCTCATATTGGGCAAAACGTCGATGCGGGTGATCCCGTCTTACTGTCGACGTGGGGAATGCATGGCCACACATGCAAGCATGCTACGGATGGGCCCGACAAGCGTCGATGAGCAGCAGAGCTGGGCGGCGGCTAAGAGCGTCGAGGTGGCCACCGCGCAGAAGAAGTGCCGTGGTGCTTTACGGGCTCTGCTGGACCAGGCCCCGCTCTCTTTCAGAAGGCCTGCGGCCGCGGGCGGCGAGTGCAGGTCCCCACGGACACGTTGTTCCCCCGCTCCAGCGCATCCGAGGGGGAAGAGGAGGGGGAGGAGGAGGAGGAGGAGAAGGAGGAGGTGTGGTGGAGCCGTTGGACGACGAAAGGTTGGCAGAATTGGATGAAAAAAGATATGAAAGAAACGGCTGCGCTCAAAGCCATGGGATACTTTGAATCAAAAGCACTGAGACCACCAACAAAGGGACCGAGGTATTGTCGGAACTCAAGAGCGAAGGATAATATGAACGTGTCAATTCCGCAGGTAATGATAGAGGCGGTCCCAAATGTTTGCAATGAAGAAAAGGTGACTTACCAACGTGTGGACAGGGAGTCGCACTTGCTACTGATAAATGACCCGAAAGTGATTATACAACATGGCTGGATGGTTTTCCTTATGACGCACCTTTCCAAATCAAGAAGCTTGATATCAGGACAATGGATATGGACGCGATTACTACAGATGGTATGTGTCACTCGGTTGTGATGGATATATAATATACGGGCACATGGGGATGCGACTGTGGGGTGATACCGAAATCCGTGGGAGAATGTGGGATAAGCAAGTAAGGGCGAATACGGTATTTCGAGCCCTAATGGTGATATTTCATGCATGTGGAAGGGCCCGTGTCCCAATGTGCGTGATCACGGACATGGCCAAGATACCCACTGGAGTGAATGAGAATTATGTGGAGAAAGATATTTGGTCGACGTGGAAGGCCAAAACGTGGAATCTGAATATTGGTATGATCTATGGTGTATGGTGGATGGGGAATACGTATGACGACGACTTCCTGGTGAAGGTGCGCGGGTCGTGGCCCAGGGGGGTTGGATTCAGCCCACAAAGTAACAACCCCCTGGGCTAGACGGCCGAGTCGGGGCTCCCGACGCTGGACGTCAAGGGCGAGTTGCGGGGGCGCCGCGGACGCGCGGCCGTGGAGGCCGACTGGGACCTCTGAGGAGGCCGGTGTGGTGAGCCCCCCAGGGTGGGTCCCCACCTGGGGGGCTCGACAACGTCGTGATGGGGTCGAAGGTGCCCTTTCGTTCTTTTGGGGAGGAGTGAGGTGGAGGTAGGATGAGGATCAGGTGGCCAGGTCGACCCCGTCACGACCGCATGCGCGGCCCGCGCGACGCGGGCCGTGGAGACGCCACGAGGATCGCCTCTCTTGGTGCGAGCGCAGCAGCAGCAGCAGGAGGAGGAGGAGGAGGAGGGGGGGGCCACAGTCGGGAGGGGCCACTGTTGACCGGGCCCGGCGCTGGCCCTCCGATGATTTCGGGTGCCGCGTGGGCGGGGCCTCTTCGCCGATTCGCGCTGCACCCCTCTGTGTGCATCGAAGCCCTCCCGGGAACAAGTCCGCAACCCCAGACACCCTCGTGATCGTTTTTGTTCATGCATTGTTTTGCCGATCGGCGCGGGCCCTCGCACCCCCCTCCACCCCCCCCCTGGAGTGGATCTTGGCTGTTTTTGGCGCCTGTTTCGAGCAGGTGGGGCCTCCCCCATAGGACGCTAGGTCCCAAACAGTCGCTGTCGCTCTAAGCAGAGGTCCAGTGCCAGACCCCCCTCTTCCGACCAATGTCGAAACGCCGAATAAAAAACGTTCACCTCCGTAGCTATATTTCCCTGACCCTCGATCCTGACGCGTTCCCGTTTTTTGTTTTCTGGACATGATTCGGCTCACCGGCGGCCCTTCGGGACGATATGCTCATCCCTGGAACACTCTCGGCGAGGCGCGGTTGCCGGAGAGCATCCCGAAGCCTGTGGGCGAATATCTTCTTCAATCGGCCAGTCGACCGCGAAGTAATCTGGAATACAACCAGCGGCTTATCCTGGCAAGGGCGCCGCCCAACCAACGCACAAGCCCAGGGGTGGAAGAGAGTGGGTCTCGAGCCCAAATCAAGCACTGACCCCTCTCTGCAGCACACCTCCTGTGCAACGCCAGTCGCCGCGGAGCCGACCCAGCGCACGTGATGACCACTCAACCAGCCAACCAACGGAGAGCAATTTGGTGGCAGCGGAGCCCACCAGCGCGCTCCTGCACGCAACCAATCAACCAACCAGCCATCCCCACCAAGCGCCACGGCACAAGCCTTGAAGAATGCCAGCGCTTCCGCACGGATTCCTCTCTGCAACGCACCTCACGTGCACTGCCATCCGCGCAGGATCCGTGCGCACGCACATTCCCTTGCAGCGTCGCCGCGGCGCCGACCCAGCGCACGCGGCGACCAATCAACCAGCCAACCAACGGAGAGCGGTTTGGCAGCGGAGCCCACCGGCGCGCTCCTGCACGCAACCATCAGCGGCACCGTAACGGGTACTCACTAACGGGTACTTCGGAAATCTGCCGAAAGTTGCCACTTTAGGGCCCCTTTCTGGCATTGCAGGGTTGCCCACATCGGGGAGGATTGGGTTCGCCGGGTCACTGGCCAAAGTACCCGTTAGTGGAGTCCCCGTTAGAGGGGCGCTGAAACCAATCAGCCAAGTGGCTACCCCGAGAGGAGGGAAGGGCTCGCGTGCTGCCGCTGGCGGCGCACGGTCGTGAAAAAACCACCCTGCTGCCTCTGGCAGCGCACGGCCGTGGGAACCCGCCTGCGGCACCGAAGCGCGCGGCCGTGAGAGACGCAGGCACGCAGCGCATGTCGCCGCGCCCCAGAGACGCCCCAGGCTGGCTGTGCGCCCAGGATGTGAGAGGCCAGGAAGCCAGAAGGCATGAAAGTCGAGAGGCCCGCAGCGGCCTTCTGGAAAATGCTCCGAAGCGCGCGGCCGTGAGATGCGCAGACACGCAGCGCATGTCGCCGCGCCCCAGAGACGCCCAGGCTTCAGGAGGGAAAGAAATACACAGACAGAATTAATCGTCGACTCCCCAGAAAATATAGGAAAATATGGGAGGTGGGGGGGAAGACAAAAACCCAGAACATATGGGAAAATATGGGGCATGTTTTTATTTGTGTGTATTTATTTGTGTGTCCTGGGGCCCCTTCAAGGCTGTGCGCCCAGGATGTGAGAGGCCAGGAAGCCAGAAGGCATGAGAGTCGAGAGGCCCGCAACGGCCTTCTGGAAAATTCTCCTGCCCCCCAAATCGGTACGCGACTTGAGGGCGACGAGAAGTGCATCCACATCCGCGGCCTCGCGGGCCAGCCCCCTGGGCCACGACCCCGCGGATACGGAGCGTTTTTTCGCGGATGCCCCGCGCGGAACGCATCCGTGCGACCACGCATCCGCGGGATCGCGCCGCGGAATCCAGACCGCGAGGGCGCGGACACGGATATGTTCGCCGCTCGTGAGGACCGTTGAGAACCGACGAGAATATCATTGAAATTGCCCGCGCTACTTGTTCGCATTCTCTTGCTCTCCCTCCTCCTCCCCCTTCTCCTCCCCCGCTCCTTGCTTCGGGCCAGTGCTTGTGCGCCCAACGGTGGGGTTGGGTGACTAGAACCCCACGGCCGCGTGTTGGTTTCCTCCGCCTCCCTGCTCTCTCCTGCTCCCTATCGTCCTCCCTCGCCCCCTTCCTCCTTTTTCCCGGGCCGACGATCGTCCGTGGAGATCTTAGGTGATCCATCATGGATTCCCTGTTGACTGCAACCATCCAGCTTCCGCGGACCGCTGGGAAACGCCAAAGACTGCCCAAGACCGTCAGAAGACCGCCGACATCCGTCCGATGACCGCCGCAGACGGCCCAGGAGCGACGAGTAGCAAGGGGCCCATGGCCGAACACGTAGCACGCCAGTGGTTGGAAGTAGGTACTCCTGGACTCCCAGGACCCCAGTCTACTTCCAGCGCCGTCGGATTTCCAGAACCGACCTGTTGTTGCTGGTGTGTGCTCCCCTCTGGGCGGGCCCAAACCCAATCTAGAAAACCCTTCCGAGAAAAACCCTGCTCCAGGGTGCCCTGGCTTTCTTGGGTTTCGCTGGCTTTGCTGTGGAAGGTGTGACGTTCCCACACCGCAAATCAATGGACGCCCGGGGGTCTCAGGGTTGGGTTTCTTGTGGGAGGTTTCTCGTGGCCGGGCCCCTACTGTACTTCATCCGCCTTCCTCCTTCGTGTTTCCGCCTCTTCTTCCCCATTGGCGGGTACCCCCCTCCTCTGCCCAGCGCCAGGCCCGCCTCCGCTGGGCGGCGGGCGCGCCGGGCGCGCCAGCCTCGCAGCCGGCCGCTGCGGCGGTTCCGTCGCAGAGCGGGACCCGCCGCCGGGGGGGCGTCGCCATGGGGTGCGCCTCCTCCCTGGGACGCGAAGAGAGGAGGGCACAGGAGATCGTGGGCCACGATAGGGGGGGGGAGTAGGCACAGGCGGGGGGGGCGCATCGCCCCACCACTCGCCCATAGATCGCCGATATGGACCCGACAGCCCCAGCGCGCCCAGGACGGCACGGTTTCGCTGTCGGGGGCCTATCGCCGATCTATCGACGATGTATCGCCGATTCCAGGTCGACGCATCCCCCCCTAAGCCACGCCCACCCCATCTCTGCCCCTCAGGAGAAGGGAGGAGGACGAAGAGAGGCAGAAGGGAAAGTAGAGGCAGCAAGCACACCTGGCTTCTGGGCTTGCGCCATCACAAAGACAACCGTCGCGGGCCTGGGCACATGCTGAGGCCGGAGAGTTTCGACATTTCCGGTTTGCTACACCCCCCGTGGCACGAAACAGCCAAGGTCGATGCTAAGTGTCATAAGTCATAAGCACACACATCTTCGGAGTTCCGCGCAGATTTCTTGGATCGGCGCTGGGCCCCCCTGGCGGCGTCTCCGCCGCCGCCCCTGGCGCGCTCCGCGCGCTGGGGAGGGGGGGCCCAGCGCCGAGCCGAGAAATTCGCGCCGATCGTGGGCGAAAACCTCCCTTTTGTGATTTTGGTTCAAGATGCGAAAGGTCGGGGAGGGCGTGCACACCAGTGCCCGGGCCGGGGATAGCTGGCCATGGCGCGGAGGTTAGCTCCAGGCCTCCCAGATGGAATACGAGTAAATGGGGTCGGAGGAGCGCGTCGCATCGCCGATGCATCGCCGATGCGTCGCCGACGTCGATGAATGCATGCATCGGCCATGCATCGGCGATACGGCGCGATCCTCCGACCGACCCCATTTAGGAGGCCTCTAGACATATATTCCGTATCCGTGGCCTCGCGGGTTGGGTCCTTGGGCCGCGACCCCGCGGATACGGCCCGCTGTTGTCGCGGATACCCCGCGCAGAACGTCTCCGTGCGACCGCATATCCACGGGATCGCGCCCCGGAGTCCAGACCGCGAGGGCGTGGATACGGAGATGTTCGCAGTTCACGTTTTTCTTTAGACTCAAGTCAGATTGCGCTGAACCGAAAAGGCGTCCAAGTGAGTCCCGGCTTGCGTGAAGACGAGTTTTCTTGTTTGCCGAGCCTGACCACGCCCCCCTTCCATGCAAGCAAACTTGCCAGACCCTGAAGAGAACAGGTCTCCGACACAGCCATCAAACAAAAAGTCATATCAACGTCTGCAGTGTTTTTGTTTATTCTCTTGCACAGGGTGTCTAGAGCTCCGACCATTTTATTCCGCGTCGCACCCCCCCCCCCCGCGTCCCCAGCGCCAGAGTGGGACCCCCGCGCCGTGGTTCTCTGCCCCGAGCCCCCGCGTCCCCAGCGCCCCAGCGGGAGCCCCGCCCACTGCCCCCTCCGCCACGAACGCTTTATTCCGCGTCGCGACGCACACCACCTCCCCCCCCCTCCCCACCTGGGATTTGGGCCCCGTTGCTGGGCCCCGAGGGGCGATGTCTTGCCCCCTCTTCCCCCCTCCTCCTCCACCTCCTCCTCCTCCCCCTTCCTTTTTGTGCAAGAGCCATGGCACACGTGCCACTTGTTTGTTTTGCATGTGTGTGGTTGGCCTTGGTATTTGCGCCCGTCGACAAGTTTCCTCCAAGGAGGTCCATCGCTGGGGTCCGTTCGTCTTCGACGTTTTTCGAAAGGTGTTCGGCTGCTTTCGAGGTCCAGGACGGTTGCCATCAGCTGCATTTCGTCACGGGCGCCCCGACTTTAAAAGGCCAAAAGTGACGACAGGTACAGCAGTCCGATGACCCGCTCGGATTACTCACATGAGCTGCGGGCCCCATAGAGAGGGAGCTCCCGCCTGAGACTTCCTCGCAATTCGCACACAGACGAAGTTCCCGCCTGAGATGAGTGAGTGAGTGATTGAGTGAGTGACTGAGTGATGATGGTGATGATGATGATGATGATGATGATGGTGATGGTGATGGTGATGGTGATGGTGATGGTGATGGTGATGGTGATGGTGATGGTGATGGTGATGATGATGATGATGATGAGTTTGTGAGTGGGTGAGTGGGTGAGTGAGTGTGAGTGTGCGAGTGGGTGAGTGAATGGGTGAGTGAGTGAGTGTGAGTGATGATGTGTGTGAGTGATTGAGTGAATGAGCGTGCGATTTAGAGAAAAAGGAAAGGGCGTGTTCTCTTCGTCCTGCGCGGGATGTTTAGAGAAAGCAAGAACCCCACTTTGGATGTGGGGAAAACGCACAAATGCGCCCGAGCAAGACAAATCACGATGTATACATGAGGGGTCGGTCATATATGGCATTGCATGGCTATGCAGTGGGGCCGCCATAGGATACATGCACCGTGGTGGATGCAGCGAGAACACAACACCCCCATATGGGGATCCAGCATGGAATATGCCGCTCCGGGAATATGTCTATGATGTCAGCGCTTGGCCCCCTCAATTACATTGCCCCCCCAGAAGGCCAAAAATGGTGCCAAAACCATAGTAAAACTAATGATTTGGGTTTCCTCGCCGACCAGCGGACCAGCGGAACACCCCGTCCAGGTCCAGGGGAGGGGGTAGGGGGAGGGGTCAAGACGCCCTCCCCGCCCACAAGCCGTCTCGCTCACTCCCACCCGCCCTCCCAACACATACTTAGCACCCGAGCCTGCCCCGAACCGCAGCATATACAGCAGTCGTCTTTGGATGGGCAGCTACTGGGGGCGAATCCGCCGCCGCCGCCGCCGCCCGCCGCCGCCGCTGCCGCGCCGCCGCCGCCGCCGCCGCCGCTGTCCGGCGCCGCCGCCGCCACCGCGCCGCCCGCCGCCGCCGCTGCCCCCGCTGCCAAATCGCCGCAGCCGCTGCCGCCGCAGTCGCTGCCGCCACCGCTGGCGCCGCTGCCGCCCGCCGCCGCCCCCCCGCCGCCCCCCCCGCCACCGCCGCCGCCACCGCCGCCGCCGCCGCAGCCGCCGCAGCCGCTGCCCCCGCCGCAGCCGCCGCAGCCGCCGCCGCCGCCAAGTGTACTCTGTATTGTTTTTTTGACAGGGATGGTGGGGGGAGGACGCATCGGGTTCGCTGCTCATGTTCCGAATTTGGAGACAGAGTTTGTTTTGTTTTGTTTTTTACAAGGGATGGTGGGGGCAGAATATGTTTTGTATTGTTTTTCTGGGGGAGGGGGTGTATATTAATAGGGAACACTGATAAACCCTTCCCCGAAGGAGAAGAAGGGGGTGGAAGAGGAAACACCCTAAACCACCTACGCCTTAAAGGGCTGGTGGGATAGCGCCGCATGGCACACGAAGAGTGACATTGGGACGCAGCGATGGGCCAAGACAAGTTTGCATCAAACAGCTCCGACCCACAAGTCACCCTGAGCTTGCTGGCGTAGCAAGGAAAGTTGCATCTGACGTGTGGCTCAGCATTCGAAAGGCCCTGGCCCCTGCGCTCCCCGCCCAGGTCTGGTCGATGGTCCACGCCGTCTCTCTTCAGAATATCCGTAAGGGCTTCGCCCCCTGCCGCCGGCCCCCTCTCTCGGAGAATGGGCCATGGAAGAGCTAAATCATGAGGTCTGGGCGCCACCGTGAAGCAGTGTCGGGACCTGTTTGTTTTTCGACCCTGACCCTACGGATCTGCGTCACGGGTGCCACCGAATTTCAGAAATCTAACAAATTCCATGTGTTATTGCACCCTGACCCCGCCGATCTGCGTGAGGGGTGCCGCCGAATTTCAGAAATGTGGCAAATCCCCTATGTTTTTGAACCCTGACCCTGTCGATCTGGATGAGGAGTGCCGCCGAATTTCAAAAATATTGCAAATCCAATGTTTTTTTGCACCCTGACCCTGCCGATCTGCGTGAGAGGTGCCACCGAATTTCAGAAATGTGGCAAACCTAATGTGTTTTTTGGACCCTGACCCCGCCGATCTGCATGAGGGGAGCCACCGAATTTAACAAATGTGACAAATCCTTTGTGTTTTTGGACCCTGACCCCGCCGATCTTCGTGAGGGGTGCCACCGAATTTCAGAAATGTTGCAAATCCCATGTGTTTGTTCACCCTGACCCCGCCGATCTGCGTGAGGGGTGCCACCGAACGTCAGAAATGTTGCTAATACTTTATGTTGTTTGCCGATCTGCGTGAGGGGTGCCACCGAATGTCAGAAATGCCGAATTTCAGAAATGTGGCAAATCCTCTGTGTTTTTGGACCCTGACCCCGCCGATCTGCGTGAGGGGTGCCACCGAATTTCAAAAACGTGGCAAATCCTATGTGTGTTTTGGACCCTGACCCCGCCGATTTGCATGAGGGGTGACAATTTTTACCCACCCCAGCAATTCAGACAATACGATTTGGGCGTGGTAAAAATGCCCGTTTTGGGCCTCCCCCCCTCGCGCGGTCCATCAACAAGGAACACTAAGCAGCAAGAAGTCAACAAGGAACAGTAAGCAGCAAGAAGCAGAACTGTAACAGTGGAAACTGGAAGTTGCAACTGGCACAGGAAACTGCGAATCCTCGGCCTACAGCCTGGTGGCCCCACAAGGGGGCCTGCGGATACAAGACCCCAGAATTCTCAGGCACGTCGCCCGAACGCTGAAAAGAGGACACTCATGCGCCATTCAAAGAGGAAAACTCATCCTCGAATGCGCCCAACGGGCGAAGTGGACACCCATAGCGACTCCAGCCACCGCAAACTGAATGGCGGCGAGGACGATGGGACCACGGGCTGCGGCATCAGAGGAGCAAACTTGCCCCGACGAGGAAACTCGCCAAGTGGCCCATCCGTGGTGCATTTGCGCGACGACATTTACAAGTCTCACCGACTCCAGGCGCGGCCCAGCCGCGCGGCGGAAGCGCCGGCGGCCGCCCGCAATCTCGACGAGGCATATCCCACGCTCAGCACCCTACTTGAGTTACAAGCCACCCCATTAAGTTCTAAGGCGTCACGCGATGTGCGAAAAATAAAGTGGTCTGGTCATCAAGTATCCCTAACGATTGACGCATCATCTGCATACAAGTCACTGCATAATAAAGACCTTCGGATTTCCACGGGGCGCACAGTACTCTGCCATATAAGTTGGATACGCGAACTGATGGGCATAAGCATTGCGCACAGCGCGCAGCGGTGTGACACGCGCGACAGGACGGTTGATGGCCACACAAAGGGACGTAGTGATAAGGATGTCAATGAGGAGTAATGTCAGTAATCCATCGTTTTCAAATACGGTGGCCTGGAGGGACGTTATCGTCGTTGGGACGTTATCGTCAAATTCGGCGAATCCACGTTGGGACGTGATCGTCTTCACGGAGACCTGAGGGACCCCAAGGAAAAGATCTTTTCAACAAGAAGCAATCACACATGGTTCGGAAGCGGAGGCACTAAGGGCTCCAATGGGATCGGTTTCCGGTTACACCGAAGATGGCATTATCAGGCATTCAAAGCGCTGAACGAACGAGCCGCCATGTTGACGATTGACATGCACGGCTTGGTTTTCAACATCATAGGTGTTTATATGCCTCACTGTAAGTACGCAGATATACGTGTAGAAATTGCTTACAACATGCTGGACTCGCTATTGGATGCTCCTGGGGATGTTATTATTGCCGGGGGCTTTGAGCACGACGCCCGATGGAATGTGCTGCGGGGGTTCACCGTGGAAGAGCCGCGCATCTCGCCTATCAAAAAGTTGCATCGTGGACAGACAGCTTCAGTCATTGCAGGAACGGAGCCTCGTTCATTTTTCTTGGCACGAGGTGTAAAACAAGGTGACGCAACCAGCGTTCCTCGCTATAATGGAATCTGGTCCCAAGAAGCTCAAGAGCAAGTGGCGCAAACTGAACAGCAGAAGAACTTGGCAACACTATGTATTTGTTGTGAACGGCCCAGAGCAGCCCCTCACAAACCTTCGTTTTGCCGACGATGTATTACTTTTCGCGCAACGCAAGAGGGACGCTGCCAAGATGCTTCGCCACCTGAGAACACACGCTGGTCAGCACGGATTGCGGCTACATTTAGGGAAGACCAAAGTTGACGAACATAGCATGCACGGAGCTTTTCGCTTCGGTCGGGGGTTCTGAGGTGCAGGTTGTCTCGCCAGGCGGGTCAGAGAAGTATCTAGGACGAGTTGTGAACTTTGCAGCATACCATGAGGCAGAACATACAGATCGAACGGCATCAGCATGGAAGTCCTTTGCGAAGTTCAAGGACGCCTTCTTTTCCAAAAGGTGCCCTTTGTCAGCCAGACTACAATTGTTCGAGTCTGTCGTATCCTCGACGGCGCTCTATGGCAGTTCTTGCTGGACGGTCTGGGCCAAGACACGCCGGGCACCCCCATCAACATGGAAAGCTCTGACGAGGAAGATCGCCCAGATCCCCAAGAAGCACAGTGAGGCATGGGTGCAATATATCAGAAGATCAACCAGGCCATGCGCGCGGATGGCAAAAGATCGGGGGTCACGCGATTGGGTTGAAGTCCAACAGTCGCGAAAGATTGATTTTATTCTTCGCAACGGCAACGACGACCACGACGAGCGGAACACACAGCTCGTACACTGGACGCCGCGGTTCAGAACAGTCCCCACAAGACGCACCGGGAGACCCCGCAAGCGGCGGTTTGACACGTGAGGGGCCTTCCTCTTGTCCTTTCCTGCTCCTCCTCCTCCTCTTTCTCCTTCTTGTCTTTAGTTCAGCGGCCAATTCTTCCAAAGCGCCTTTCTATTAATGTTTCGCTCGGTTTGCCCAGGCGCTATTCTCAGGCGCCGCGAAGGGCCCGGCCCACGCGGCCGGTCAGCAGACCCCCGCGCGCCGCGCATGTCAAATACGGAGCCGACTTGTCAGTCTTTTCAGAGGCCATCAAGAGACGAAGCCGACAGACTTCACATATCAATAAAATGCTGAGTGAGGTTGTGTATCGATATCACGTCGGCGACGTTGCGTCTCTGGGTCACCTATGTGCTTGCTAGCTCGTGTCTCTACAGGAACCCTACACTGCTCGGAAACGAGCCTACATCTGTTGCGTTTCAATACATGGACGATGGAGGCTATGAGACGTCGGTGGCGGTAGCTCCTGACGCCCAACTTGATGGCCTGCTGGCCTCTAATGCGTCCGATGCTCGGGGAACGAGTCCGTCTGAGCGCATCCTTTTTCGGGTTTCGGCAGTTCCTGGAGCTTCCAGGGGCTGCTGGCGCAAAACCTTCGTCAGGCCGTTTTAGCGGACGTAGTGTATACTTGTGGTGCACGCTTTGAGCTTGTATAGGGCGGCAGAGCGCAGCGCTGCTTCCCCCCCTCCCCATCTTTAAAAGAGGGCGTCTGGAGGGGTGGGGGCGCGACGCGCGCTCCTCTGCTGCTTTGGCCCAAAAAGCACGCGCGCTCGATGCGTCGACGCATGGGCACGTGCGTCCTACCTGAGAGTGAAGTTGTACCTTCCTCATCCCGTATCCCATCTTTCATCCCATACTGCTGGCATCTTTTCTGATGTCTCGCATCGGTGATGAGTACGTGACGTTGCCACCTTGCTTCCGATTTTCCAGGGGGGCCAGAATCGTCCCGAACGGCCGTTAGAGGCCCGAGCTTACCGCGCGAAAGAAGCCGGGCCTTCCAGAGGGTCCTTTCTCAACCTCTCGCGTCGCGCAAAAATAGAACAGACGGGCGCTTGTTTTTTTTTCAGCCCATCAAGGGTTTTCACCAGGTTGCGCCAGACTTCGGAACCGTCAAAACAATACTCGGCATGAAAAGCCGGTCCCAGAAAATGGGTCGAGACCTCTGCGGTCAACGTTGCGTTGTTGTTTCGTTGTTCAATGTTTGAAACAAAAACACGAACAAAAAACACGACGTCGAAAGTAGACGGGTGGTGGGGTCCTTCGTCGGGGGAAGGCCAGTCGAGACAACGGCGCTGCCCTTTCTTTGTTGTGTCGTCCTTTTGGGGCCTCTTGTGGGTTCTTCGTCGCCACGGTTTGATCCGCCTCGAAAGACGGGCCAGGATGGACCCCAGCAAGGGTCCACAGACCGATTTAGGCAAGGTTTGGGCCAGGCGGGAGAGCCACCGTTGTCTCGACAGGCCCTCCTTCGATCTTCGTCCGCCGCTTCAGAAGAGGCGGCGCCCGTTCGTCGTCCTCGTCGTCGGTGTCGTCCATCGTCGAATTGATATTGATATTCGCCGCCGTCATCATGATTTCTTCTGGGCCTTCCAGACTCATCTTAATCCTACTCCAGCTCCCGCTCTTCATCCTCCTCACATGACTCCTCCTCATCATCATCCTACCCTTCCTTCGTGCCCCTCCTGCTCCTCCATGATTCGCCCGCTTGCCCCGCATCCCCACTGGCAGAGTGTTGGGATGAGAACCGCCAGGATCAGAAGGGGCCCACTTGTTTCTCACCTCAGCTCTCCCCGGGCGCTCACCCGCAAGGCCTGGCGCAGCCAGGGCTGACAGCACGGGGGCATCGCCACATGTCAGGGATCAGGGCTCCTTGGGGCAAGACTTTGACCACAGTCCAGACGCCGAAGCGAGGATCACTTGGGCCGCAGGAGGGGCTTTGGTCGGGGGACCTATTCGTGGCCGGCTCGCCGTGGCCAGAAGAGCCCTTGTCGTTCCTTGCTCGAGCGGCGCGGACAAGCGGGGTCGTCTTCACTGACATTGGCGCGTAGGCCGCCCGCGCAAAGTTGCACGTAAGCTCCCTTTTCTCCACGCAATATGCCGCGCTGGCGGTCCGCGTAGGCCGCGGCGTAAGGTCGCTATGTAAAATCGCGCAGGGCACGTTCATCTTCGTCGCTCATTCTGCGTTCCTTATGGTAGCGCGATCATTGTATGAAATGCATGCCGGCTGCGGTTGTGATCCGGCGGGAAGTTGGGCTCAGTTGGTGACAGAATTGGTGCTTGTTCGATCAACGCGTCCTCGACCCGAATTACGCCGAGGAGCGCCGCCGCGGATCCACGTTCATTGCCCTTTGCCGTTTTCTTGGCACACGCCACCTCCACTTCCTTTGCCTCGGTAGACGCCGCCACCTGCAGGCCTGCTCCCCAGCCAGCTGAGTCTCCGCAGGACGCGCCCGGCCCCCCCTCGCGGAGCCGCCAGCGCGCGCCGCGCCGAGCGCCCGAGGATGTACGACGCCGCCTACCAGTGGCAGCTCAAGAACGGGGCGTGGGTGGACTTCGAGGACGAGGACGGTGCGGGCCCTGCGGCGGGCCGTGCCGAGCCGAGCCAGCCTCCTCCCCCTCCCCCTCTGCGCGTCACGAGAGAGCGTTGGCCCAGGGCATCACCACGGGCGCTGCTCGACATCTTGCCGCTGCCGTCGCCGTGGTCAGCCTCGGCGAAGGCCACGCGAGGCTGGGTCACCCCCAGGGGCTGCGAAGATCAGCGCGCTTCGCGCATCGCGGCCTGGGCAAGAGGGGCGCCCTGCTCCAAGGTGGCTTCGCGAGGTCGCTCGCGCATCGCGGGGCGCGCGGCGCAATGCTGATCCGGTGACCCAGACGAGGCCATCCGCAGGGGCTTGAAGACTAAGCGCGCGTCGCGACCCAGGCTGGGCAGTGCCTCCTCCTCCTCCTCCTCCTCCTCCTCCTCCTCCTCCTCCTCCTCCTCCTCCTCCTCCTCCTCCCCCTCCTCCTCCTCCCCCTCCCCCTCCTCCTTCTCCTCCTCCCCCCCCTCTCCTCCCAATCGTGGGGGTGGGGAGGGAGGGAGCGCCGCGGGAGCGCGGAGAGGAGTCTGGTGACCCAGGCGACCCCGGCCCTCTCCCTGGCATCGCTCGGACGTGTGCGTTTTTTCCTCGGCGAGGACCATCGAGGAGCATCCTCGATCATTTGGCGGAATGGACGTCCGAGCGATGGCGAGCCTCTCGCGTCGTGGAAAAAAAGCGGCGGGCGCTGCTGCTGTTGTCTTCCCTTTGCGGGGCCCTCGCCAGGCCCCAGGGTTGTCAAAGCAAGTATTCCAGGTGAAAACCGGTCTTGGTTAAGGAGTCGAGACTTCTTGGGGTCGACGCTTTGTGGGAAACCAGGACGGCGGGGGTCTGGGGAACTCCCTCGTTCCCGTCCACGGGTTTGGCGGGTACAAGTTGGCCAGATCCGCCCCCTTTGCAAGGACGGCAGAGAAATCGGTTGCGGGGCTCGGGCTGGGTTGGTTCCTGGCCCAAGGTTCGCTTGGACTTCGTTCCCTTAAGCGCTCCCGCCAATTGCTGTCTCATCCCCTGACCTTTGAGGTCCTGGCGTTTGTTCGATGCGCGGGGTCTCAGAGCTCCCGGCCCCATCCTTGGGGACCAGTTTGTTTTCGTCCAGAGGCCCGCATGCAGCCCCCCAGAGGCCAGAAGCGGTGAACGTCTTCCAGCCTGATTCCCTAAGCAGCTTGCTTTTGCAAGGGTCCTCTACAGTTCGTCTGAGGCCCGTGGGCGGACTGCGCAGTCCAACATCGGTAGGCCGTGGTCTCTGGTCGTGGTCTCTGGTCGTGGTCTCTGGTCGTGGACTCGGGTCGTGTCCCGTGGTCCCTGGGCCCGTGGTCCCTGGCCGGTGGTCTCTGGTCGTGGTCTCTGGTCGTGGACTCCGGTCGTGTCCCGTGGTCCCTGGCCGGTGGTCTCTGGTCGTGGCCCGTGGTCTCTGGTCTTCCGTATCGCCTCCCGAGAGGTGTAGCAGGGCATCGTTTGGTGGAGCATGCCGTGGCGCAGTGTGGTGCATGTACTGCCACTCTCTTTGGAATGCTCTCTGCAGCCTTACTCAGGAGGCTCACGTCATGCCGCCGGCCCCCAGAAGAGGCGTGGAGGCCACGGTTGAGGCGTCGTGGGCCTCCTGGGCACTCTGTGGGGATTGTTGTGGGTATCTTGGGAGCTGTTTGGGGGCAGTTTTAGAGCGCGTGTTGGGGGCAGTTTTAGAGCGCGTGTTGGGGGCCGCCTTGGGGCCTCTTTTGGGCCTCTTGGGGGCCTCCTGGGGGCTTCTTGGGCGTCTTGGGGCGGAAAGATTGGATTTACGGTTTGTGTTCACCCTCTTCGCCTATCTTTTGGCCCTCTTGGGGCGATCTGTGGCTGTCTCGGGCCCCTCTTCTGGGCCGTCTTGGAACCCTCTTGGGCCGTCCTCAGGTCCTCGTAGGAGCCTTATGGGCAGTTTTGGGGCGGTCTACAGTTAAGACGCTGAAATATGGAACAGTATGGGTTCGGGAGGAATTCGATGTTCCTTAGGTCCTTCCATAGCTGTTCTTCTGGCCCCACTCTTGCACCCGAGCGCTGTTGGTGCCACAAGGGGCTGCGTTCCTTATTGTATCGTTCTTTGCTGCAGCAGCCCGACTGTACGGGGCCTCTTGGGCCGTTTTAGAGTGTCGGAAGTTCGAGAAGACGATAACCCCAGAAACGATGAAAAGCCTAAGGAAGACCACTGATTGTTGCCTCTCGGGTCCCTCTTGGGAAGGTTCTTGCTTGGGGCGTCTCGACGGCGTCTGAGGGCGTCTTGGAGCCATTGCAAGCGTCTTGGGCCAATCATTCCGCGGTTCGGGACCGTCTTGGAACGACTTTGAGGCCACGGAATGCAGGCTTGGAAGCGCCAGAGTCTCCGGAGGTGCGCTGTGGAGCCCGGATACCCCCCGCCCCCCTGAACAGGATTTTGGACCTTGCGGGAGGGGGAGAGAGGGAGGGGAGGGGGACAGTTAATCGTCTCACACGCCTTCCCATCAACGTTTTGGCGCCAGCCGTGGAAGTATGCTGTCCGCGCCCATCTTCTCCCTCCAACAAAAAAAGCAAAAGCGGCGGTCGGCGGGTCAAAGGTTGTTCCAGGTGCTCTGCCGCCAGAGGTGTAGTCCTGGCCCTCCGCTACGCTGACGGTCAGCGCGGCGGAAGATCAGGGCATCAGGCGCCGGGGTCAGCGGCTGATCTTGGCGCCCCCAAGAGTCAGGAGGAAAAGAAACACACAGACACAATGAATCGTCGATTCCCCAGAAAATATGGGAAAATATGGGGAATCCTGCTATTTGTGTGTATTTGTTTGGTGCCCCAGGGTCCCTTCAAAGAGCTCAAGGGGGGAAAGAGGGAAGGGAGGGAGGCGAGGGCTCAGGACCCCGCGGCTTAGCGAAGGAGCGGCTGCTCCCCCCGACGAGGAGCAGGGGGAGGAGGAGGAGGAGGAAGAGGAGGAGGAGGAGGAGGAAGAGGAGGAGGAGGAGGAGGAGGAGGAGGAAGACGGAGGAGGAGGAGGACGGCGCCGACCCTCGACGACGTGATTTCTGTTGCCCGTGGGCTCGGTCGTTGAAAGCAGGTAACCTCTATACGTCTATGTTCCGCTATTGTCGGGTGGGGTCGTTTTTCCGAGTTGACAATAAATTCGCCCGAAAGATATTCATGTTCCATCTACTGGCCAGGGGATTTCTAAAGACCTATCGGGGTTATCACTGGATTCCCAGATCCCCATCTGCTTTGGCCGCCTTCCTGCTTCAACAGTCGAGCAGCTTCCACTCCTCCCTCCTCTTCAGAGGGCGGGCGGAAGCCCAATCTGCCTCCAACGCCTTCCTACTGCATGTCTCCACCCACTTCCGACCGACGGGTAACTCGGGCCGAACGAACAGGGGGGGATAGGGAAGGGGGGGGTACTAAGTCTGCTGCATGCAGCTGGTTTCGGCCCCGCCGCCGGGCCCCTTCCTCGATACATGGGCGCCTCCCGGCGCCAGGAGGCGCTGGGAAAATCAGCCACGCGAGCCGATTCTCTGCCCTGCCCCTTGCCATCTCACCCCTCTCGTTCCCCCCCGAGTAACAGCACGGAGCCACGGAGGTCTCAGCCCGTTCCCCGGGACTGGCGCTCCTCGCCCCCGGGTCGTCCTCGGACGGCCCAGGGCGCGGCAAGGGGGAGCTGCAAGAGGCAGCACAGAGAGCGCCGCCGTGGCTCCGCGGCGAGAGGCGGCTCGGGCCCCGCGCGGCGTCCTCAAGGCCCTCTCACGCTCGGACGGCGCGGACCCCTCCCTATCCCTCCTCCTCCTCCTCCTCCTCCTCCTCCTCCTCCTCCTCCTCCTCCTCCTCCTCCTCCTCCTCCTCCTCCCTCCTCCCTCCTCCCTCCTCCCTCCTCCCTCCTCCCTCCTCCTCTCGAGGTGGATCGGCGATGCATTGGCGATGCGGCGCGATCCTCCGGCCCCATCTACTCGGGCCCCATCTAGGAGATTTCTAGAGGCCTTCTCGCTCGGACGGCGCGGACCCCTTTCTTGAAGAAGCAGCTCTCGGGAGGCTCACGGTCAGGAGCTTCGGCTTGCACGCTGGTCGTTGGAAGCGGGTGTTTTGTATCTCGGGATGGCCAGATCCCAGTCTGCTTCTAGCGTCCTCCTCCTGCAAGAATCGATGTGCTGGACGGGCCCGAACCCAATCTACCATATCCGCGGCGGATATGGTAGATTGGGTTCGGGCTTCCTACCGATATGGGTTCGGGCTTCCTACCGATTTGGGTTTGGGATTGGGTTCGGGCTTGGGTTCGGATGTGGTAGATTGGGTTCGGATACGGATAATCCGCCTCCCTACTTCATGCTTCCACCTGCTTCTTCTGGCCGGCGGGTAGCGCCTCGCGCCGTTGGTCCTGGCCCACCGCGCTTCGGCGAGACACGCCGTCTCCATTGTCGCGGGTTCCCAGCGCCCGGGCGTCCACGCCCCGAGAGCTCCCCCGGGCCTCCCGGCCCCGCCAGCGGAGCGACACGCCGTCCGCCCGCGGGGCCTGGCGTGCCGCCGAGGCCGCCACCGCGACACGCCGAGCAGCAGCTCCTGGCCGTAGCTCGGCATCGGCGCCCGCATGTCTCAGGAGGGAAAGAAACACACAGACACAATTAATCGTCGACTCCCAGGAAAATATGGGAAAATATGGGAGTTGGGGGGGAAGACAAAAACCCAGAAAATATTGGAAAATATGGGGGATCCTGTTATTTGTGTGTATTTATTTGTGTGTCCCAGGGCCCCTTCAATATCTTTGGTCACAAGCCGGCCCAATGCCGCAGAACCCCGGCTAACTCGGCTCGATTCCATGTCATCGATTTGCTCAATAGTGGGTGCCACCTCGCTCAATGGCCCCTCGATCGGGCCTCATAGATTCGAATCGTTCTTAAGAAGACCTCGCCTCCTGGATCCTGCCTTTCCTGTCCCCTGCGTATCCTGCCTATCATCTGCCTCTGGCTCCTCCTGCATCTCCTCCACCACCGAAGCCCGCTCCTGCTTGGGCTCCTCCTCCTCCTCCTCCTCCTCCTCCCCCTCCTCCTCCCCCTCTCTTGCTCCTGCTACTCCTGCGCTGCTCCTCCTTCTCCTCCTCATCCTCCTCATCCTCCTCCTCATCCTCATCCTCATCCTTCTCCTCCTCCTCCTCCTCCTCCTGTCCCTCCTCCTCCCCCACCCCACCCCGCTCCCACTTCGGATCCTCCTCCTCATCCTCGTAATCATGCTCCCGCAGAAGCGCGCTCTGACAATCGAAATAACGTCCCGGGAGGAGCAGCACGACCTATTGCTGGCGTGGAGGAGCGGCAAGAACGTGTACAGATATGCTGCCCGCGGCCTCCAGTACGAGGTTCCTGCGGCTTGTTTCTTCTCCTACCCCTTGTCCTCCCTCCTTCTCCCTTTCCTTGATGTGCTCCCCTTCAACTATTGTTGCTTCTCCTCCGCCTCCTCCCAATCCTCCTCTTCAACGATCTGCGGTGACCGCTGCTGGTCGTACCTCGTGCAACAGAAAGCCTGCCATGACTCCCAGTGACTGCAGATTCCTGGCCCACTCCTGCTGCTGTCCTCTCTGTTGCCCCCCGATTCTCACAGGGTCCGTGTCGATCCGATCGATTCGATTCGACATCGGCTCCCGCCTGCTGGATCCGATTCGATTCCGATGTCCCTTCGATCCGATGCGGCCCAATGCGTGCATGGCGCCACTGCGCATCATAGTCCTGGCGTGGCCGATCCGATGCCGACTCCGTGCCGACGCAGCCCGATTCGATGCATGTTCCGATCGGGTCCGATCTCCCGATGCGATGCTGCCTGGTCGTGCCCCCTCCCCGGAGGGAGGGCGGAGGGAGTGGCCCGGTGGGCGTGGCTTGGGCCCCCCGGAGGTGGACTTCCAGTGGATGCGGCAGACCAACCTGTGCACGAAGCACGCGAGGTCGATCCGCGTCCGGATCCACGAGGACCCCTGCGCCGGCATCGCCGTCACGCTGGGGGCCGTGCCTCCGAAGGACGCCGCTCCCTCCCGCCGTGGCATGGGAGGTTCCGGCCGCCTCGCAGCCGGCAGGCGTCTGAATGTCCAGGCGTCCTGGAATTCGTCGGAGAAGAACTGCTGTGTGTCAGCGGCGGCCTGGGTCCCAGACGCGGTCAAAGCAACGGCGGGACGCATCCGCGAATGGGGCACACGGGGTGAGAGGTGCAGGCGCGGGGGGGGAGGAAGCCGCGGGCGACGGAGCACGCTCAGGCCGTGAAGATCTTATTAGTGTGTGTTGGAGCTCAAGCACATTTGTGGACGAAGGAAGCTGGACCCCTCTGGCGGTGCCTCGGGCGCAGAGCCATCCCTGGCGCGCTCCGCGCGCAACGGAAGGGGCCCCAGCGCCGATCCGAGAAATTCGCGCGGACCCTGGAGGTTTATATTTCTGCCGCTTCTTCCTCCCTTATGATATCCGGGCGAACGCATATGCAACGGGTGACAACATCAACGGGCCCAGCACGAGCGGATGATTATGGGAAAGGGCATGCGATCACCTGTGTTGTTATCGAAGACGCCTACGGCGAATCACCGCCGCCCCCTGCCTTTTGGAATCGCCGATGTGGCCGAACGTTGTGGCCAAAGCTTGGACAGAATTTCCCCGAGCCGCAGTGGGAACTCTTAGGAAGCCTCTCTGGGCTGTCTTGGGGCCTCCTTGGGACGCTTCGGGGCCGTTTTGGGGGTCATCTTGGGCCGTCTTCGGGGCCTCTTGGGCTGTCATGGGCCACCTGGGAAAACTCTTGGGTGCTCTGGGCGATCTTCGGGGCCTCGCTGACCGTCGGAAGGCCGAAAAGAAGCAAATGCCACAATCACTCAAACACCCAAGGAACATCCATGATGTTGGTGGCCTCTTCGGGCCTTCCTGGAGGATCTCTTGGGGGCCTGTTGGAGGCCTCTCGGGGGCCTCTTGGGCCGTCTTGGATCATTTTGAGGCCATCTTTGGCCGTCGTGCGTGCATATTGGGCCGTCGTGGATGCATATTGGGACCATCGTGGGTTCTCATGGGGCCATGTTGGCCGCCTTGGAAGCGTCTTGGAACCGTCTTGGGAGCCCATCTTGGATCGTGTCGGCCGTACTGGGGAGATTGTTTGTGGACGTTGAGGTTTTTATGTTGTTCTCCAGGTGGCTGGCGGGCTGGGCCGAGACTTCTGAAAAGAACCCAAAACATTCAGACATCTAGCACGCCGTGCACCCCCGTGGCGAGCCACAGCGTTTGGCGGATCGAAGACGCCTACCAGGGCCGTCTTGGAGGCCATATTGGGCGTTTGGGAGGCCTCTTGGGCCATCTTGGGGCCCTCTGGGGGCCGTCTTGGGGGCCTCTTTGGCAATCTTGGGGCGATCGTTGGGGGCTCTTGGGCCGTCTCAGGCTGTCAGAAGGCCGAAAAGAAACAAATGCTAAAGCCCTTCAGAAACCTACAGAAAAGCAATGATGTTGGCCTCTTCGGGCCTTCCTGGAGGCCTCTTGGGGGCCTCTTGGGCCGTCTTCCGTCATCTTGAGGCCATCGTGGGCCGTTTTGGAGGCGTCTTGGGCAAACTTGAACGCATCTTGGACGCTCTCGGGCCGTCTTGGAGGCCATCTTGGACCATCTCGGGCGAACTGGAGGGTCATCTTGGCCGTCTTGGAGGCCATCTTGGAGCCATTTAGAGCGGGAAAGACGTTGGCAACCACCTCTGAGCAAGCCTTCGGGATGACCGGCGCGCTGGGCCGAAGCCCCAGGGGGAGGTCTTTTGGAAAACGAGCAAAAACGAAACCGTATAGGGTCTAGCACGCCAGGCACCCTTGTGATAAATCAACAGGGGCGGCGGATCGAACACGCCTACGGCGCATCACCGCCGCCCCCCTGCCCTTTCGGAAGCGCCTATGTGGCCGAACGTTGTGGCCAGAGGCCTGCCAAGCTATCGGACCATGTGTTCCCCGAATCGGTTTGGAAAGCTTCGGGGAACACGTGGGGGAGAATGAACATGAAGAGGAAGAGGAAGAGGCCTCTTGGGCCGTCTTGATCCGTCGGAATGGCGAGAAGAAACAAATGCCAACATCCTTGAAACACGTAGGGAAAATGAATGAGTTTGGTCTCTTCGGGCCCTCCTGGAGGACCTCTTGGAGGCCTCTTGGGCCGTCTTGGAGGCCTCTTGGGGGCCTCTTGGGCCGTCTTGGGCAATACTGACGCCATGTTAGGCCGTCTTGGAGGCATCTTGGGCCGTCTTGGAGGCCTCTTGGGGGGGCGAAGCTATCGGACCATGTGTTCCCCGAGTCGGTTTGGAAAGCCTTCAGGGAACACGTGGGGGAGGAAGAGGAAGAGGAGGAGAAGGAGGAAAAAGGAGAAGGGAGAGGATGCCTCTTCGGAGCCTTTGAGGCACTCTCGGGCTCGATTGGGCCATCTTGGAGGCCATGTTGCTATCTTGGGCTCTCTTGGAGCCTCTTGAGGGCCTCTTGAGGGCCTCTTGGGGCCTTCTTGGGACTTCTCGGAGGTCTCTTTGGTCGTCTTAGGGCGTTTCTGGCCCGTCGGGAGCCGTCTTGCGGGCCTCTCTGAACCAGCTTGGGGCCCTCTTGGGGCGCTTCGGGGCCGTCTTGGAGGCCATCTTGGGCGTCTTGGAGGCCTCTTGCCCCGTCTTGGGGCCCTCTTGGGGCCGTCTTGGGGGCCTCTTGCGCCATCAAGGGGCCCTCTTGGAGGCCTCTTGGGCCGTCTTGATCCGTCGGAATGGCGAGAAGAAACAAATGCCCAAATCCTTCAAAAACCGAAAGAAAGTCAATGATCTTGGCCTCTTCGGACCCTCCTGGAGGACCTCTTGCAGGCCTCTTGGGTCGTATTGGGCCCTTTTGGAGGCTTTTTGAGCAAACTTGGAGATATCTTGGACTCTTAGGCCGTCATGAGGCCGTCTTGGACCATCTTGGGCGGACTTGGAGGCCATCTTGGAGGCCATCTTGGGCCAACGTGGCCATCTTGGAGGCCATCTTGAGCTGTCTTGGAGGATCTTGTTTCCGGATTGCGGTCCTTTCCGGGTGGCCGGCGGGACGCGCCGGAGCCCCAGGGGGAGTTCTTTGGGAAAAGAACCAAAACCAAAAACGATTGGATTTTGCACGCCAGGCACCCCTCTTGCAAGCAACAGGGGGCGGCGGATCCAGTGGCATCCGGCCCAACACGCCACCGCGCATGGGTCGTAGACAGAAGGCTTCTTGGAGGCTGCTGGGGGTATCTTGCAAGGCCTCTTGATGCCTCTTGAGGGCCCCTTGGGGACCCATGGGCTGCCTCCAGGTGGTCTGGAGGCGGTGTCGGGACAATCTTAAGGTGTGCACACACACACACACACACACACACACACACACACCGAGCGCCCACTCTTGTATACCTATTGAGGATATTGGCCCCGTCTTGGACGCCGTCTTGGGACGCTCTTGGGCTGTCTTGGGCGCTGTGAAAACCGACAAGGTGAACATGCGGCAACCATACGAAACAGGTGGCTTTCAAATTGGTACACTTGCTTAGGCCAACCCAAGAGGCCCCCAAGAAAGCTCCAGGATTGCCCATTGGGGCTTTCTTGGGCCATGGTGAAGACTTGAGTTCCGAACCGCGCTCGCGAGGCCTTTGGAGATGTCATGCGAGAGGCCCCAGCTGCGCCCTGGAATGTCGTGAGGAGTCTTGGGCCCTTGAAGGGGCTTGAGGGCACCCCACGTCGTGCCTCGCGGCACGGCGGCGAATACAGAAAGCCATGGCGGTGCATGTGCGATGAGGCCCATCTGGAAAGGATCCTGGGGAGAGGAGGCGCATGGAGAAGGAAAAACGACGACGACGACGACGACGACGACGCCGAAGAAATTTCAAACGAGAGGAAGAAGAAGAAGAAGAAGAAGAAGAATCAGATAGGAGGGGCCTGCGCAGCACCGCACTCGGCTAGACCCTCCAGAGATGCAGCACAGCGTGACGGTAGCACGCCTGGCAGTGCTCAGGGAGGCGGAGGTCTAGTTGCGGCTTGCGTGGGGCAATGCTCCGCTGGACCATTTCCCAGGGCCACGGCAAAGTGGCAACAGTGGCACGCCTGGCAGTCTGGTTTACGCGTGAGTGGGTCCACTCCGCTCGACCACCCCGGGGGCGCAGCAAAGCAGCGAGAGTGGCATGACTGGCAGCATCAGGCGGGGGGGGCGCCCCCCAGTGCACATCACTAAACCAGGTCCCACTAAACCCAGTTCTGCCAACGCCCGACAGGCCCCAGAGGGTTCTCAGAGGGCTCCTCAGCAGCCGAGCGGGCGTCTATGAAGCCGCCTTCTCAGAAGCCCCTCCGCCTTCTCACTTAGAAGCCGACCCCCCCCGCGCCACCTCCATCCCTGAGATCCGACGTCTCCAACAGAACACAACAACTCAAGCAAAAACAAACAAACCCAGCAAGAACGGCCGAAGCCCTGGGCCCCCCTCTCCCTGCGCCATCCTTCAGGCCGGACCCATCGGTGAGGATCTCCGGGAGCCCGCAACCGGGCGGAGGCGCCCGACATCAGCTGTGGGCGCTGCCATGGGCCTCTCTCGGGGGTCCTTCAGGGTTTGGGGTCCTTTAGGGTTTGGGGTCCTTTGGAGTTTGGGGTCCCTTAGGGGTTGGGGTCCTTCAGGGTTTGTGGCCCTTTAGGGTTTGTAGTCTTCTAGGGTTTCGCGTCCTTCAGGGTTTGTAGTCCTTTAAGCTTTGGGGTCGCTCTCAGAACGCCGCTCTCAGAGCGTTCCGGAACGCTCTGAGACGGCCGCGGCGCCCGAGACATCCTCCAGAGCCGCTGGATCTCAGAGATGCTCGACTTGTCCTTACCCGGTTTCATCCTCGTCATGTCTTCGTCTTGCGCCCATCAGAAATTGCAAGAAAAGCAGCCGTTTTCATGGATTCCAGCCTGCGCTTGCGAGAAGCAAGAATCTGGAATGGACCCAGGGGGCGTTTTCTTGGAGCATCTTGTCCCGCAGAGTGTTCGTAGATCTGGACCTGGACTGCTCAGGAGCGCGCCCGGAGTGAAGCCCCCTTCCTTCGCTCAAGATGCTCTCAGCTCTGAGCAGGGGTGCACTCTGCCGCGCACTGGCTGTCCCGAGGAGAAAGGCCAGAAGATCACCACCCACCAACCCACCCCAACCCAACCCGAAGGCTCAGATTTACCCTCGACTTCCAGTGAGGGGGGGTCGGGAAACATCGGAAAAACACATGTAGAACCCTTGCCCCCCCAACCCGAAATTCGGGTCTTCGGGTTGGGTTGGGGTGGTCTGGTATGTAGCCAGGAGAGGCCCCACGCCCCGAGGCAAGAGGGCGCCGTCGGAGGAGAGAGGGCGTGCACCAGCCCCGAGGCCGGGGCCGGGAGGGCGCGCCTGGCGAAATCCTGGGCCCAGGACGACCGGCGATCTTCGGGGCGTGTGGTGTCCGGGCGTGCCGCCGAGCACTTGGCTGCCCCGAGGAGAGGCCATGCTGCTCCTCCTCTTCCTCCTCGTCCTGGGCCCCGAGGCCCAGGACGAGGAGCAGGAGGTGTCAGGACGAGGGGGCCCAGGACGAGGAGCAGGGCCGCTTCCCCTGAGGCCCCGAGGAGCAGCAGGTGTCCCACGCGGCGCGTGGGACACCTGCTGCTCCTCCTCTTCCTCCTCGTCCGCGTCCTCGTGCTCGTGCTCGTGCTCGTGCTCGCCGCCGCCGCCGCCGCCGCCGTCGTCGTCGTCGTCGTCGTCGTCGCCGCCGTCGTCGTCGTCGTCGTCGTCTGTCGTCGCCGTCGTCGTCGCCGTCGTCGCCGCCGCCGTCGTCGTCGTCATCGTCGTCGTCGTCTGTCGTCGTCTGTCGCCATCGTCGTCTGTCGTCGTCTGTCGTCGTCGTCTCCTGTCGTCGTCCGCGCGCTGGCTGCCCCGAGGAGGAGCCCGCGTGGGACACCTACTGGCACATCGGCGGCGAGCGCCGGCCGCTCGACGGCCCCGCCCTCGGCGGCGCGGGCCTCCTCGGCGGCTCGCGCCGGCCCCGCGGGCCCCGCGGACGCCATGCATGTGGCCACCAGGGCGCCCGAATTTTACGGGCCAAGCAGCTGTGAAGATCGGAGGGTGGAAGCCAAACGCAGGAAGTTGGCTGCCGCCAATCGTCTCCAGGAACTTGTGGCCAACACAAGCCACTGTCTCACCATCCTCCCTGGTAAACCTTTGAAGTGTGATGTTTGTCTCGAGTAAAAACCCCGAGGGGTACTCGAGAAGTCTGGTTGCAGAGTCAATGTAAAGGCCTACCAGCCAGAATTTGCACCAGCCACAAGCACCTCCAGAGATTCCGAGGTGTTTACTGGTGCCGTGATTGTGGCTTCTATGCGCACAAGTCGTTTCAGAACCTTGCTAAGCTTTGCACCAGGCGCGTCACTGACCATGGCCGGAAGGTTCTCAAAGCGTTGGATCGTGGCAGGCTCCCGAGGGACATCCCCGAGTGGCCCGAGGCGGAGCCCCAGCCCGAACAGGTGCCACAGCCCACCGCTTATTTTTGATTAGGATTTTTGGGGTTGGGAGTCCTGTCGTGGCTCGTCCCGGGGTGATGGAAGCGGGCGGGTAACAAAAGGTCTGATGGACTCCCCCCCGAAATTTTACAGTGGGGTACCTCATTGGACCACGCCCCCAAGCTAGGCAAGAGGCAAGAGGAGGAGGAGGAGGAGGAGGAGGAGGAGGAGGAGGAAGAGCAAGAGCAAGAGCAACAGGAAGAGGAAGAGGACGAGGAAGAGGAAGAGGAAGAGGAGGGAGGAGGAGGAGGAGAAAGTAAAAGGGGGCGGAGGAGGAGGAGGAAGAGGAGGCGGAGAGGAGGAGGAGGAGGAGGAGGAGGAGGAGGACGGAGGCGAGGAGGAGAAGCGGGGAGGATCAGGAGAGGATCAGGAGAGGAGCGCAGAGGCGGCGGCGGCCAGGGGGTCACGGGGCGCGTCGCGCCGCGCCGCCGCCGCCGAGGGCCCGCCGCCGCTAGCAGCGAGGCCGACCGCCCGCCGGAGGCCGCGGGCGCGGCCGAGCCGCAGCCGCGCGGGCCGCCGCCGCCGCCCGCGCCGAGTGGCGGCGCGGGCGGCGCGGCCTCGTCGACAGGCGATCGTCGCCGTACGACGTCCTCGTCCTCGTCCTCGTCCTCGTCGTTCCCGTCGTCGTCGGCGTCGGCGTCGGCGTCGTCGGCCTCGTCGGCCTCGTCGGCCTTGTCAGCCTTCTCCTCGTCCTCGTCCTCGTCCTCGTCCTCGTCCTCGTCGTTCCCCTCGTCGTCGTAAGTAGGGCGGGCCTCCCCGACAGGCGGGGGCGCAGTAGCCCAGCCCGCCTTCGGAGAGTTAGGGGCGTGCCAGAATGCGGCGAGGCTTCGCAGAAGACCCCCCGAACACACCAGCTGAGAAGGGAGGAGGACCATCCCCCTCGCGCTGTGCCCCCCTCGACGCGCAGCGAAGATCAGCCACGCGCAGAAGGGGCAGGGGGAGGGGGGAAGGCTTCTTAGAAGGAGGCTGCTTCTTAGAAGGCGCGAGCCTTTTCTGTAGATGTAAGGCCCGCGCCATCTAAGAAGCAGCCTCCTTCTAAGGAGCCTTCCCCCCTCCCCCTGCCCCCTTGTGCGCGCCGTCAAGAAGAGTAGGAGGAGGAGGAGGAGGAGGAGAAGGAGGAGGAGGAGGAGGAGGAGGAGGAGGCCCCTCGACGGATGGAAACAACCCCAGACCTGCTCATGGTTTGAGAAAAAATTGGGGCGGGTGGTGTGTCGCTTGCTTCGGCCTCTGGGGGCCCTCCCCGGGCCCCGGGGCCGTCAGAGAACGGGTCAGGGTGCAAAACCGGTCCCGGAGAAACGGTCGGGATTTCCAGGAAGCCCGCATTGAAAAGCAGGACATGACATGTCTGGTACTGCGTACGGTAGGTTCGCGTCGTGTCGACCGGCGGCGACCCCGCCGCTGGCGTTTAACGTTGAACGCCGCCAGCGACCCAGAATCGGTCGATGTTGCACGATCTGACGCTTCGGAAGCGGCCGATTGCTCAAGGTTGAGCGATCTCCGCGGTGTAAGATACCAACGCCGAAGTCGTCACGACACGAACACACCGTAAACATAAACTCTGGGGCTCCGACGGAAGTTGATGTTCATGCACTTGTTGGTTCGCCTGGCCCCGCGGCGGCGTCGTCGTCGTTGCCGTTGGAGGCCTTCCCAACCTTCCTGGCGTTGTGGACCACGGCGGGGCCAAGACCGCCGACGGCAACGGCGGTGGCGGGGGTGGCGACGGCGGCGGTTCATCGTCGAGCACGAGCCGGAGGAAGAGGAAGGAGAAGAAGAAGAAGAAGAAGAAGAAGAAGAAAGAAGACCCGAGAAGGAGCGGCGGCGACATCGTTGTCGTGTCGGAGGCTCTTCGGCGTCTCTGGGGGCTCTCGTCGCCACGGCTGGACGCGGTCAAAGATGTCTGCCTAGGACGGGCCTTGGGAGGCGTCGGGGGACCAGGAGTTTGGTCGGAGGAGGAGGAGGGGAAGGGGAGGAAATCGAGGACCGCGGCTCGAGGATCGAGACGTCCCTCGGGCTTTGCAGCCTCATGTGGGGTACCCTGGAAACCTCCACGAGGGCTCCAACACGGCCCACACCATCATGTTCCTGGGGAGCCTTCCGGGAACATGAATGTCGCCGCCAGCCCGACGAGGAGAGCGAAGAGGAGGAGGAGGAGGAGGAGGAGGAGGAGGAGGAGGAGCAGGGTCCGCGCCATCCCACCGTCCGCGCCATCCCACCGAACATCCCAATTCAGCAGTGGACTTGGTGTCGAGGGTGTTGCTTGCAGCTGCCGCTCTCTTTTGCGAGGCCCCCAAGATGCCCCAGGAGGCCCCCACATGCTAGATGTAGAAGGAAGAGGGGAGGAGAGGGACGAGGACGAGAGGGAAGAGGAGGAGGAGGAGGAGACCCCCAAAAGTTCATATGCTTGTGCCGCGTTGTATACGCTTGTGTTTGAATCCGACGTCGCGATCCCATGTGTATCGTCGCGAAAAAATCACAGCCGTACCCCTACAGACCCCATATATTCCTGCTGCACTCCTCGAGTCAGCTCGATGTCTGCTGGCCCCGGGGCCCGAGACCGGGTCAGCACGCCTGGAGCGGCAACACCCGGCGATCCTCACGAGGGCCTTTTTAGAGAGAGGGCCCCCAGCCCGCGAGGCTCGCAAGACCCCCCAACAGGATTCCAGCCAGCTCGCCGAGAGAACTCCTGTAGGCAGATGTCATGAACGGTCCGATCGTTTTTCCCGTATTTCCACGTTGTCGCCTGCTCTGCTGCTCGACGCCCAGAGACGGCACAAGAGGCGTCCAAGAGGGCCCCACCACACCCGGGCCCCGGAAGGAGCTTGAACACCCCGCAAGGGCCCTCGAGGGAGCCCCCGGGCCCTCGAGGGAACCCACGGGGCGCCATAGCAGCCGCAGCGCCTCCATTGCTTCGAGGCGGCCCCAGAGGCATTCAACACGCCCCAAGAGGGCTCGAAGCTAGTTTCCGAGAGAACCCCAGGGCGAAGAAATCATTGATTTCCCTTGATTTCCCTTTAGTTCTTTCACAGATGTTCCCGTCGTCGCCTGCCTGCGCTTCTCGACATGCGGGGACGGCGCAGGAGACGCCCTCCAAGAGAGGCCCACCAGAAGATAGATGCGCAACCCTTACTCGGCTGCTGTTCCCTCCACCCTGCCTTCCCAGATCATTCAAAGACAGGCCCTGAGGCATCTCAGATGGTCCCCAACACGGCCCAAAACATCAAGTTCCAGGAAAGGTGTCCAGTAACATGATTGTCACCGCCAATCGAAGGAGGAGGAGGAGGACAAGGAGGGGAAGAGGGATGCAGAGGCAGAGGAAGAAGAGAAGGCAGAGGACGAAGAGGTGGATAAGGAAGGAGAAAAGGAGAAGGAGGAGGAGGAAGAGGAGGAGGAGGAGGATGACAAGGAGGACAAGGAGGAGGAGGAGGAGGAGGAGGAGGAGAGGAGGAGGATATCTAATGGCCTTCGATCCGTCCCGCCACCGTGCCTGGGTTGTGGGTATACAACCTATGGGATGTTCGTTGGGATATCGTGGGGAGCCTTTTCAGGGGCCTCTTGAAGGCAATTGTAGAGCCTCTAGGGGGCCGTCTGGGGGCCTATTAGGGCATCTGTTGGGCCACTTGGGAGCCTCTTGGGGCATCTTGGGGGCCTCTTGGGCGCCTGAGGCTCGGTTTTTCGGTTCGCGTTCCCTCTCTTGGGCCTCTTCGGGGGCCGTCTTGGGCGCCTCTTGGGCCGTCTTGGGGTCCTCTTGGAGGCCTCTGGGGCAGCCTTGGGGTGGTCTTGAGGGCCTCTTGGGCCGTCTTCCAGCGTCGGAAAGCCGAAAAGGCGGGAACAACAACATCCTTCAAAAACCTCAGGAAAGTAAATGATGTGTGCCTGATGGGGCGCTCTTGGGAGGCCTCTTGAAGGCCATTTGTAGCGTCTTTGAAGCCTCTTGGACCATCCTGAGGCCATCTTAGGCATCTTGGAGCGATCGTTCGGCGACTCGGGGCCCTCTTGGACTCATAGGAGTGTTCGAGAGGTCGCTTAGGGGGGCGCGCTTACGCCGTTTTGGAATCCTCTTGGAGGCCTCTTGGGCCGTCTTGGGGTGGGTTCGGGGCCTTTTCGGCCGTCTTGGAGCGTCGGAAAACCCAGAAGGCGAGAACACCACAATCCGCCAAAAACCAAAGGAAAAGCACTGATGTTGGCCTCTTGGGGCCTCTGGAGAGGCCTTTTGGAGGCCTCTTAGGACGTCTTGGACCGTTTTGGGGCTGTCTTGGGCGTGTTGGAGCGATCGTTCGGCGACTCGGGGTCCTCTTGGACCGTCTTGGGGGCCTCCTGGGAGTTCTCTTGGCTCGTTTTCGGGCCCTCTTGGGTCCGAAAAGATCATGCGAGAAGCGCCGGGGAACGGCGCCAAAACCCGGGGAGATTTGTCAATTTGGTGTCCAGGCTTTTTTATTCCTC